GGGACAGTATTTCTTTTCGTGTCTTCGTAGATTGTAACCACGATTAAATTGCTTTCCGCAAAATTGGCAGCTCATTCCGTTAGCACTGACTGTGCAGAAATGCCTTGCTATTGAGCAGTATTGCAGTTTTATGAGCAGATGAGCATGTGCTCATGAGCACTTATGAGCATGTGCTCATACGCATGGGACGCCTGGGACTTGCTTGCAGGACACTTTGAGAGGTATCCCAAAATAAATCGCACTGATTTTAAGAGCAAATTATTGTTGCCAAAGCTACCGCATTGGTTGACTGCATGCATAAATTAACACATGGATTAACGTTTTGTACACGCGATAGTTATATCGCACGCAAGAACGCAGATTAGTGTTTCAAACAATCTAATTCACATCACAATCAATCAGTCAACATGCAGTGTAAAGCAGACATCGTTGGGATCCTTGACGTGGACGGATTTCAAATTGGAAGGAAATTTTTCTGTAAGGAGTTGGGAGTCATAAAGGTCGGAGACTCTGAAGCATCGTCGTTCTTTTTCGATATTGGTTTACACTGGAACGAGCTCAACGAGAAAGACAAGAGAACGTGTAACTTCGTCCAGAAGAATATACATAGACTCATCCCTATGGTAATAGGCGTATGTTTTAGCATTGTTAATCTCAACATAATTTGACATAAAAGATTTGCACATAATAAATATTATGGCTCATCTCAACTCGCTAATTATCTGTTAATAGCTGTACAAAATAAATCAAATGCCATGTATTTCACAGAGAAGTTAGCTAAAATAGAACTTAAGCAATGAAAAACGATAAATGTATGTTTATTAAATGGGGAAAATCATGTTCAGCAAAATGTGTGTGTGTGTGTGTGTGTATTGCGTGTGCATGGGATGTTTGACTTAAAACATTTGCATATAATACATATAATGACGCATCTCAATTCGCTAATTCAATATCTGTTATCTGTACAAAATAAATCAAATCTCATTTAGTTCACAGAGAAGTAAGCTAAATGCAACGATATCAACCTTAAAGGGTTTGTAACCTTATAGTATTGCCAACGGCTGACAAAATGTGCGTGTGTGTGCATGGGATGTTTGACTTAAAACATTTGCATATAATACATATAATGACGCATCTCAATTCGCTAATTCAATATCTGTTACCTGTACAAAATCAATCAAATCTCATTTAGTTCACAGAGAAGTAAGCTAAATGCAACGATATCAACCTTAAAGGGTTTGTAACCTTAGTATTGCCAACGGCTGACAAAATGTGTGTGTGTGTGTGTGTGTGCATGGGATGTTTGAAAAATTTGCATATAATAAATATAATGGCTCGTTCCAATTCACTATCTCAAATAGAAGAGAAAAAAATCTCGTGTATTTCACAGAGAAGTAAGCTAAATGCAACGATATCAACCTTAAAGGGTTTGTAACCTTAGTATTGCCAACGGCTGACAAAATGTGCGTGTGTGTGCATGGGATGTTTGACTTAAAACATTTTCATATAATACATATAATGACGCATCTCAATTCGCTAATTCAATATCTGTTATCTGTACAAAATAAATCAAATCTCATTTAGTTCGCAGAGAAGTAAGCTAAATGCAACGATATCAACCTTAAAGGGTTTGTAACCTTAGTATTGCCAACGGCTGACAAAATGTGCGTGTGTGTGCATGGGATGTTTGAAAAATTTGCATATAATAAATATAATGGCTCGTTCCAATTCACTATCTCAAATAGAAGAGAAAAAAAATCTCGTGTATTTCACAGAGAAGTAAGCTAAATGCGACGATATCACCCTTAAAGGTTTGCAACCTTAGTACTGCCAACGGTTAACAAAATGTGTGTGCATGGGATGTTTGACTTAAAACATTTGCATATAATAAATCTACTGGCTCATTTCAACTCGCTAATTAGTAATTAAATATAGAAGAGAAAAGTAAAATCTCATGTATTTCACAGAGAAGTAAACTAAAATAAAACGTTATCGAATGGGGAGAATTCGTTTTCAGCAAAGAGTACACTATACTCGATTTTTCCACACGTTAGACCGGTACGGACTCCCAGCGAGGACTTGCACTACTGGTCACGACATCTTCGTTTGCTGCCCAGGAGCAACGTCTAACAACAAACGCTTACTCTATCGATAACATTTGTGTCTTTTTTACTTATTACTATTATTATAAATGTTTGGGCTATTTCATTGACTGTTAAAACTGAAGTTGTGACCGGCAAATCCCCTACAGTGAAAACTGCTCTTGATCTAGTGCATACTATGAATATTAACTATGGATAAATCGAGTGTGTGTTCATCGAGTGAGGAGTATTGATTTTCAGAAAAGTGTACACTACATACGTTTGATTTGTCCACATTTTAGGGGTATTGACTCTTAGCGAAACTTAATCGATGCATACTATAAATATATGAAATCGAGTGTTTCGTTTAATTCTTTTAGTATATTTAGTGGCTCTTAAAAGAGCCGTTTTTGTGTATCTTGCACGTCTCCCTTACTCTAAAAGAGACGTATCAAAATCCAACACATATTGTGCGGCTAACGATTCTTCTTGACGGTCTTGCTCACTCATACATACAGTTGGACGTTGGACGGTGATGTCATTGATATGACGTCATTGGCGGCATCCTTTTGGACGCTGGATGGGGAGGTTACCTACTATTATTTGATTTTGCCATCGATAGGTTTTCGTCGATATTACATACTCGCTTGCGTTTAGGTTGTTGTGGCTTAAATAATTACTTGTTTAATTAAAGTTAAATGTAAAATGTCTTCAATATGTGCTTGTAATGAGGATCATGAATCTGTTGCTCACTATTTGTTAAAATGTCCCCGATATGCTGCTCCTAGACAAAACTTACTCTCGAGTGCTGCACAAATTTTTGGTAATAAGTGGTATCTCTTGTTGGATTTAGAAAAGTCAACATTTGTCTTCACGGTTCTACGAATTTGGATATGTTAGATAATCTGAATCTTTTTATGTTTGTTCAACAATATATAAAGGAAACCAAACGTTTCCTTCAATAGTCGAATATGTGTTAATCTGACTGATAAGGGAACCAGTTGTTCAACTTTCCGTGTGTGATAAATTTTTCTCTTTTTTATCAGTGTGAAAATGATTGTGTAGCGTGAGCCCCGTAGATGAGCTTCATGCTCTTGGGTAAACGCAAGAAAAATAAAGAAAAAAGAAAGAAAAAAATAAATAAAAAATAAATATATATATTTTTTTTAGTGAAAAATAAATATGTTTATACAAATTCTCACTATGGTTTTCGAGGATGATTTCGAGTTGAGATAGATAGTTTTTCAACATGTTACCATACATGTTACCATACATGTTACCATACATGTCACCATGAATTTACATGATAATTCCTTATAAAAAGCACATGTTACCACATGAACACTTTTTTCAATATATATATAATAGTGGTAATATGTGGTAACATGTTACAATTCTTAATAGATTGCACTCATTTCACCAAGCGTATTGGTAACATGTATGGTAAAACGATGGTGACATGTATGGTAACATGTATGGTAGCATTTATGGTAATATGTATGGTAACATGTATGGTAACTGTTGGTAACATGTCGTAAAATAAGCCGTGTCCGTTCACATTCTGTTTAAGTTGTATTATTTAGCATTCATTGAAATGTCGAAAACTTTACAAAAAGCAATTGGGGAAAAGCTGGCTCGCAGTCAACGAACAACTGGATGAAGTAAGCTTCGAAGACAGAATTGTTTAGTTAATTTGTTCGGTTTTCACAAGAGAATTGTATATTAATCTTTCTAGTTTAGTTGTTTGGTTTTCACAAGCGAATTGTATCATTTTGATTTGTGAGGGTTGTGTTATGTCGCAAAGTCCCAGCGCCATTTGATTGGTCGCAATACGAGGAAAATCTAATATTTAATCCTCTGACCTCGGCGCTTAATAATAAAGTCCTACTCTTTTGTACATAGATTATCGTATCGATTGTTTTGGCACTAAAGTTGAACATGCAATTCTTTACTCTTTCGCTGAATTCAGCAAAATTTTCTTTTGCGATTTGTCTGGTTATGACCTCTTTCTTTAGCTCTTTGCATACGAGATGGAAAAGTTTTCAATTGGATTAGTTCTGGGCTGCGTGCCGAAATGGTGAAAAGTTCTGTGCCTATTCCTGTCCACGTATTGAATGCAATTGCAGCATTTTGGCGAGGACAACCATCCATTAGAAAAACTTTGTCGATTGGGTTGGAACTCGCAGCAAATGCTTGTTTAAATTCTTCTCTTATGAATTTGGCGAACTTAGGACCATCCATGATCCCGAAATATTGGCTGGCAAAAATAAATCCTTTCCCATAGGAGACTGCAACCATAAAATTAGCATCTCTTCGACCTTTTTCCCTCTTGATACACACTCAGTTTATGTCAAGATCCTCATTTCCTTTCCTCCATTCGCGTGCAGTAGGTACTTGTGCCTGATCCAATGGGTTTGTTTTGAACTCAAATCACACTCCTTCGAGGTAAAATAAGATTCCACGGTTCCAAAAACTTGCCCTAAATTGCATTTTTTAATATTTCGATAGTATTTCAACCGCGCTTTAAGATCAGCTCCGTTAGAAGACCCTTTTTTCTAGATTGTAAGTATTTGTAACCACTGACATTTAAGTACCTGCGAAATGTTCGATTTGATACTTGGGACACACCGGATTCTAACTGTAGACGTTGCGAAGTAAACGATCCATCGCTTTTCCGTATAGCTTTTGAATTTTGCAGAAACATTTCTAACAGTTTTTTGCCTCTGACGTTGCAAAGTTGATAAATAGATCTCATCTGACAGGGGTGTTCCATTGATATTTTAGCCTTCTTATGCCAGTTATCTGCGTGCTCCTTTTTGGTGTTCGGCATAGCTGCACTGCTGTAAAGTCTTTCATACAAATGCTAAAGGCAAGCATTTATTCATCAAATATTCAATAGTGATTTACATGGAAATTACAAAAGAACCACAAGATTGATATTGGACAAAATATATCCAGACAAGTCACATTTCACCCCTCCCCCCTTCTAGAAAGTTGTAAATTTAGAAAAACATTTGAATTTTGGACATTTGTACAAGCTACAACTGCTACAACAACATTGCAAGAAGGGGAAGCGGGGATTTCGCACTTGTCTGGTAATTATTGTCCAGATTGTAGCGCAAAGTGAAATCTCATCTAGCCTGGTGGCTTGTTTCTCCGATGAACTCAAATTGAATTATATACGAGGGTACTAATTCCGCTCGGCTATTTACACCCGGGGAAGGAAAGCATTAGCGAAATCTAAAGTTCATCAATAATCGCAGGCGCGTGATTATGGTTTATGGTTTGTGGTTAATGGGTGGACCTGACTGATCTCAAAAATATTACGCGCTGTTTAGCAAGAGAGGGATAAATAAGATAAATTTCACTTTTCAAAAAACATGTTTTTATATATATACAGTTTATTTTTATGCAGAGGGAAGTCTATTCGTTTAAAACATCACGTAACCTTGCTTTCCCATTAACGAGTTTGCAAAACATTTCCTAAAGGCTTTTCTTTGAAATTTCATTGTGGTCGACTGTCGAACAAACCTAGACTTGCCCACAAGTCGATTTCGAATAGCAAGTGGTAAGCGGCGAAGCCGCGAGCCGCGAGATCGACTTGTCTCGCTTGCAGGAATTTGGATCTGATTAAACATTCCGGCGCGAAAATTATTGCGGTTTCTTGATGTCAAAATCAGAGGAGTTAGATTCACTTGAATGGTGCTCTGCCATGGATGAAAATATGCAATTTTATCCTTTTTCGTTCATTATTTACATCTCATCGAATAACAGCTGTAAATTTCAATTGTTGCTCGCAGGCATCTTTAAATAATTACTGCAGCCCTTTGTCCGATAGCATTCATGAGCGCACATTAACAATGATCCCTACGGCCTACGACATTCTTTATTGTCAAAATTTGTTATTTCATTAAATTAAATATTTGATTTAATCTTTTATATCCCCAAATGTTCATTCTGTGCTTAAAAGGTTGAAAGTTGCTCATTTGGTGCTTAAACTGTCAAAAGTTGCTCGAGGTTGCTCGAGAGGCAAAAAGTTGCTCAAAACTCCAAAATTTGCTCATAAGTTCCCGAGCACAATCTTTAATGGCCTGTTTACAACTTTTGCGCTGAAAGTCCGTTACCATGGTGACAGCGTGTTTGGATAATTAAGCTCAAAATTTGTCTTTTTCCGGCCATTTTAAAAATTTAAAAATTTGCATAAAAGACATTTCCCGTATAATAATTTTTTGTTCAATTTTAAAAAATTCAATGGAACGTCTCTTAGATTATTCCCTTCAATAAGGATATTGAGCTTGTTTAGCCGAAATGTGCAAAGTTTTAAAACAATTTACCGAAGGAAAAGGGAGAAATGTAGGTTTAATTTTGGCATTTTTGCGAGATGTGACGTGTAACTCCCCTCCACCCCCCCCCCCCCCCC